AATTTTTTAAATGAGATTGTATATATATTAAAAAATCCCACAAAAAAGGCTCGCCCAATGAGTGGCAAGTTGGATTTTGGGTAGTCTACCCCTGCCCGAAGCCCAGCCTGGCTCGCCCGGGTAAGGGCTTGGGCCTACCCTACCTAGGCCCAACCAAAAAAAATAATTCGCCGACCTAGCCCAGCCCGACTCATGGACACTCTAGGTTGAAAAAATAAAAAAGTTAGAAGAAAGAAGAGATAAGAAGAGAAGAAAGGAAGAGACTAAAGAAAGAGAGAATAGGTTGTTGTTTAGACTAGGTTGTTCTATATTCTCTTTTTTATAACTAATTAATATTCAGGTAATTACAATCATAGTTGTTAAATCGCGTATCAGAAGATTTATTGCTTTTTAAAATAATGTATCATATCGTGTATCGTGTAACGTAAGATACGGTGCAATTTTAAATAATTAATAATAAAATATATATATATATATATATATATATATATATATATATATATATATATATATATATTTGAAAAAAAATCATAGACTCATAAAAACATAGCATTTTATTAACATTCCACCAACTATTTAAGTTACCAGCATAGTTCACTGATTCAAACTTCTAACACCCAATAGACTTCTAATTCAAACTTCTAACATCCATTTTGAACTCAATCTTCAATTTCAATTTCAATTGGAAAAGCACAAGAAACAGTTCCAGTGAAAAGAGAGAAAAAGCAATCGGAGACCGGTTGAAGAGCGAACAAGGTGCAAACCCAGAAGGAAGATGAAGTCAGCTGTAGATCCAGATCTAGAGGAAGCAGTCGCAGAAGGTCTTCGTCAATGGTCTTCTCCTAAGAAGAATGGACACGGACACGGGACATGGACACGACACGACATGACATGACATGGACACGCCGATACAACATTTCTCAAAAAAGTAGGATACGGACACATTGGGGACACTCTACAAAAAAAATTATATATTATATATAATATTATATAATTTATTACAAATATAATGATAATGATATAAAATTCATAAAAAATCAGTACTTTATAATAAGAAACCTAATGTCTAGTCATCTGTGTAAATTTTTAGACTAAAACATCTTCATATAGTCGATAATCATAAATTTTTTGTTTGTAGACAATTTTTTTTTCAACAAATGTCTATTGTTTAGTAGTAGACACGTTCTAAAGAAGTGTCGGACATGTCACTAAAAAAGTGTATCCGAAATTAAAAATTTATCATTTAATTATGGACACGGATAAAAAAGTATCGGACACGTGTCCAAGAGTGTCTAAAGAGTGTTGGTGTCCGACACGGATACGTAACGTTCTCGAGAGTGTCCGTGCTTCATAGGTCTTCTCCCTTCAGCTGCTTCGATGGCTTCGCTAGCTTTGTCGATGAAGAACAGAGAGAAGAGAGACTGCGCTTTGGCGTGAAAAACAGAGAGAAATAGAACACATTTATTTATTTTTTTTGTAGACCCTAGCCACTGAAACGACATCGTTTCAGTGGCTATAGGGATAAAAAATTAAGACTTTGTGGCTAAAAACGTCTTTCTAGTCAANGGCTTTGGCGTGAAAAACAGAGAGAAATAGAACACATTTATTTATTTTTTTTGTAGACCCTAGCCACTGAAACGACATCGTTTTAGTGGCTATAGGGATAAAAAATTAAGACTTTGTGGCTAAAAACGTCTTTCTAGTCAAAAAAATAAAATAAAATAAAAATAAACAGGGACTTTTGCATATTGTTCGTATTGACCGAGACGTATCATATCGTGTATCGGACGATACTATGCAAAAATGATACATAACTCCGATTTGTATTGTTTTAGTTGTGTGTCATGAGATATTGTACGATATGTATCGCATATCGTACGATACTAATAACTATAATTGCAATATTACTCTACCCTAATTTCTTATTTCTGATATAGAACATAAGAACTCTAACAATGCATAATGCCACGTTTTAGTCAAACAAGTCAATTTTGAAAAGAATATTTTTTGATTAAAATACACAAAAACTCATGGCAAAAAGAAACCGAGAAAGAACAATTATTGTGAGATGGGCTAATAATGATGTTACTAGTGTCTAATAGGCAAATCTTGATTTATCAATATTCATAATAAAATTGTCTTTTGTTAAGAGCCATCCTAAAAAGGACATCTTACAAAGAAGATTTTCATGGAGGACTTCTAGTGGAAGTAGTTGAACGAAAGAATGGTGAGTCTTCAAGTCGAAAACCTGTTACATACTAGTAATATCATGAATTCATCACATAGGTTGAAATATAAAGAGAGAGATAGAGAAATCTCAGGTGTTTGAAAAAGAAAAAGAAAAAAAAAAAAGTTAACTCGCCTTTATACAATTAGTCCAGATTCATAGAAATGGGTGACTTACTAGGACTTCAATTTGATATTTTACACAGAAATATCTAAGGATAATAACAGATAACGAATTACAAAGTAAAAAACTATCACATAATTGAAACAGACACAACTTGTTCTAGATTAAATTTTCATGTAAGGGAGCCATTAGCCATGTCAAACAAAACCATATTTTATTGGGTAGATTAGAACTCTACTGACATGATGTTGTTTCCAATAAGGCAAGTATTTGCGGTCATCTTTGAATCCCATGTTTTCTCATTTGGCTCAAATATATGCCATCATATATAGAACGTGGAATGGTTTGTGGCAGATACTTGGGTGTTGTTTTTGAGTTGCCTGAAAAACAAATGTGAAGTAGAACGAGAAGGACTAGAAATCACAGAATAGAAAGATAAGAAGAAAGAAGAGGGGGTGGAAGGGGTTACCTCATCCTTGCAAGGAATCGGTGAAGAAACACATAAATTCTCCACGGAGAACCACTTTTTATTATATCACTCTCTAATTAAAAATAGTTGGGATTACACCATTATTTATAGGCCAAGTCCCCTACTAAAATAAAAACTACTTTTTTACTAAAATACTAAAAGAGTTTCATAATCAAACTCTCAAATTCCTATCCTACTAAAATTCTATAACAATTTTCTACTTAAAATCTAATTAATACTGTCAAACAAATATTTTCTATCTAATAAAATAATACTAAAACAAATAATAAAATTCAAATTTTCAATTTAAACTCATCCAATCCCTTTTCGATTTCTATTAATTCTGCTCGACTGAAAAAAACTCTTCTCCGAAGAGTTGGAAGGCCANCCTAGTCAAACAAATATTTTCTATCTAATAAAATAATACTAAAACAAATAATAAAATTCAAATTTTCAATTTAAACTCATCCAATCCCTTTTCGATTTCTATTAATTCTGCTCGACTGAAAAAAACTCTTCTCCGAAGAGTTGGAAGGCCATAAGTACTCCAAAAAATCTGAAGAAGCTTGTGTTCTAAGAAAATAGCATTGTAGATCTCCATAGTAGAAAATAATCCCTTTGTGCATTGCATTAATCACAATCTTATGCACATACACTATTATAGGTGAAAGAAGTATATAATTCAGTGGAGACAAAATGGCAACTCCATTTTTAGTGGCATCCTTTGAAACTCCTTTAACTTCTTTTGTAAGAAGATCCTTTGAGATTAGTTTATCAAAAGCAATTGATGTATAATGAGGAGAACTTTTAGGCTCATCAACGATATCTGATTTCAGCTCATCATTCAATTGAACTAGAACTTGCAGTTGTGGAGGAACTTCTTGGGGCAAAGCTTGTTCAACTATTTGTTGATGATCAATGGATGAACAAGATGAATCAAAATCTACCTTGTTCGCAAGATTCTTATTTGGGAGCTTAACTCCAAACATGACAGCCAACTTGTGTACACCTTCATGTATATATTCCATTGATGTGCGGAGTGAATCCATTGATGCTTGGAGCGAATTGAACTTAGCATCATGGTCTTCAAGTTTTACAAGTAATTCGAAATTGGTAACCATCTCAATTGAATAAGTAACATGAAAAGTTGTAGAAAATTTTAGGGTCAATCTGTAATTTTTGAAAATTTTGGGGCTAATCTATAATTTTTTAAAAATTCTTGGGCCAAATTGTAATTTTAAAAAATTTAGGAGCAAAACTATAATTTCTAGCCTATGGGGGCCCAAAGTATAATTTTAGAAACTTTTGAAGGGCAAAGTGTAATTTCTAAAACTTTTGGGGGATGAAAGTCTAATTTCAAAAATTTTAGGGATCAAAGCTGTAATTTCAGAAATCCTAGGGTTACACGGCTGGATTTTTTGGCTGGGTAGCAAGATGACTACAAAGGGCTGAAGTACAAGATGTCAGACAAATCTCAAAAATACAACGACAATCGAGAATGATCGAAGTTGGGTTCGGATACCAAATTGACGTAGAATGGGGAGGACTAGAAATCATAGAAGAAGAAAGAAGAGGGGGTGGAAGAGGTTTATCTCATCCTCGCAAGGAATCGGTGAAGAAACACATAAATTATCCACGGCGAACCACTTTTTATTATATCACTCTCTTTAATTAAAAATAGTTGGAATTACACTATTATTTATAAGCCAAGTCCCCTACTAAAATAAAAACTACTTTCCTACTAAAATACTAAAAGAGTTTCATAATCAAACTCTCAAATCCCTATCTTACTAAAACTCTATAACAATTTCCTAGTTAATCTCTAATTAATATTCCTAGTCAAACAAATATTCCCTAACTAATAAAATAATACTAAAACAAATGATAAAATTTAATTCTTCAATTTAAACTCATCCAATCCCTTTTCGATCTCTATTAAAATGTGTACCTTTAAATGGCTTTATGGATCTTTCACATTGTTTTGCCAAAATTATACTGTCCATGTATTTTACTTGTGGTCAAAAATGTTCTACTGGTAAAATGGGCTACTAGTTTGGTTAGAATTTTCATTGTCTAGTCATCTAATGTATCTATCTTTTCTTTGTTTCCCTAAAAAATGAATCTCTCTATTATGTTCTTGAATGATTAATATCTGTCTGTGTTGTTAACTCGTTGGTTATAATGGATTGTCTCATCTTCAAAGTTGTGTTCATTGCATTAGTGTAGGATTATTTTATGCTACTTTGGCTTCTTGTGTATCTCACTCGATAGGGTGATTTATCTATCAATTTTTTCATTATAACCCCTAATAAACCAACTTGTGTGGTGTAAAGTTGAAAGATCACCGCATTTATACACGGTATTGGCCATAAGTAACTAGAACTTTCTGTACTCTTAGCAATAGAGGAAAGGGTTAAGGATTTACCTGGTGTGATGTTGATGACATGTTCTTCTTGAATGATTTGATTTGCACACACACATACCTATCTAGGCATATATATGAATATATGTCTATGCTTTTATTACTTTTTTACAGAAAATATGTTTATGCTGATTGTGCACTTCTAAATTGACTTTCTCGGTATTTGCAGACAAGAACCGAGGGGTTCCACTCTCTTGGCGTATATCAGTCTCTAAAGAAGGTAGTAAAGCATGAAGGTGTCATAGGATTTTACAAGTAAGCTTACAAGATTACTTAAATTACATAATTTATTTACTGTCTATGTTCCACAATAAATGTTATATGCTATCTTGTTTTTAGAGGCAATGGAGCAAGTGTTTTTCGAATTGTTCCCTATGCGGCATTGCATTTCATGACATATGAGCAATATCGGTGTTGGATTTTGGATAACTACTCTGCCTTGGGAACGGGGCCTGTTATTGATCTTTTGGCTGGTTCAGCAGCTGGAGGAACAGCAGTATTATGCACGTATCCCTTAGATCTGGCTCGTACTAAACTTGCTTATCAGGTTAGTAGCTTGCATTGATATTATTTAATTTAGTTTTTTTTTAGTGGAGAACATCGAACAAACGAATTAGTTCATTGTTACTCATGGAAACAATTATGTTTAACAATGTCAAGAGAGCTATCCCGCATCAAAAAAATTAAGTAGACCTTAAGGTTGCCTTATATTCATTGTTGATCAGTTTTGGGTTGGATGCTTTAATATGGGATCAAAGTTGGGCTTTGGGTGATTAGTGAGATAAAGTCTCTCGGTCTATTTATCAGTTTGCTTCGTTTTAGCTCTAGTTTATCTATTGGCTATTTCAGTTTGGTTTGTTAGCCCATAGCCCACGTGCAAGTCTGGGTTGCACGTAAGGGAGGGTGTGAAGAGAGTTATCCCACACCGAAAAATTATGTAGACCAATGGTGGTTTATGTACTTGAGGGGCCATTTCACCTATTGCCAATTGGTTTTGGGTTAGATGCTTGAACGAATACATTAGTTGTTTAGATGATGCTTCTCTGTCTTTCTATGTCCAGTAAATTATCCTAAAAATCATAGTCTAAATGCTTTGTTTTCAAGGGATCCTATATATTTTGTTTGTTTATTGTTATTTGTCCTAATCTAGGGCAATGCGATTTTGTTTTAGTAATTTGTGGTACTCTTTGGCAGTTTTATTTTTCAAGCACAATTTAGACATCTACTAATATAGGTTGGGTTTGTTGAAAAGTAGCTGCCATGTTTCATTTCGAATTACTTGGTTCCTGCCTCCTGGTAATTGGTAAAGTATGGGTTTGGCCAATGCAGTAGTTTAGAGATCATCTTTTTGAAACTTTTAATATGTTTTGTTTAATTATAACCTTGCCCTTGAGTCAAGCTCCAACGAATTTAATAAATCCTCTGTTTTGTCATTAGGTTTTTTCATGTTATGTGAAGAATTTATTTGAAACGTTGTAGAAAGGAATGTGCAACTGGAAGGACAATCCATTGTGGATGCCATATATATATATATATATATTCGGAATAGGTTAAAAGTGAAAATTTAAGAAACCTTAGCACCATTATAGTTGATGTTTTCTATTGAGAAATTGTTGAGCAACCATGACACCAGTAGTTTGTAAGTTCAATGTTGATGGTATGTACATTGTGTATGAAGATGGAGAAAATAATTATATGGTAAAATATCATGGACACCTCCTTGAATTTTGAAAGATATAACAGACGAACCCTTTGCATGGGATGGACATTTGTAAAAGTAGCAGTGAACACTGACATTACCGCAAACCAACGATCGAAATATTGTTTTGAAGTATTGTTTCGGCCAACTCAAAAACAGAAACGTTCCGAAAACACAATAGAAACGTAGACAAAATATGAAAACACGTGGAAATACAAATACAATTTATTTATTTATAAAGATAAGCTTAATAATTGATTAATTCAGCGTATTTATTGGGTTAACATCCATTTATACAAGAATAAATTTAAATTAGAGGGAAAAAAATGCTTGACACGTTTTAATTGTCATCAAGTAAACATATTTTTACATAATGTTAAGATCTCATAATACAAATGAAATGCTAATGAGTACATATTTTCATGGCTACATCCATACCACTGTCAAGTAGACTCATACATAGGTGTAGGCTCTAGGTAGTCACTTAGAGGAACTCTATATGTGGCATAAATATGATGACAATAGTTACTCCAATTCATATAACCTCTGATAGTGTGTAACACAACATCCAATCTGTTGGGAAATGAATGCACAAGTCCTTGGTCAACCTTCATCTTGTCTATATGAGGAGGATGTCTGGGAGTTATGGCTAGATTCATAATCATATGTTGAGGATCCATATTCGTATTCTTGTGTGTTATACCCCGATCTATAATCAAACGAGGGAATGTCATATCCAGAATCATAACCATATAAAGACGACGAGCCATAATTATGGTGTTCACTTCCACTTCCATTTTCACTTCTACTTCCACTTATACTCGTAGTAGAAAAACTATCATTAATAATATCAACTCCATCCTAATAGCACCATAACATGTGGAATGATTGAATTTTGAGTACACTCACATTCATGATCTTGACTTGATTTTGAGCGTCATTCATATTGAAGCATTCGTCGAGAGTCATGATCTTTATCTTGTGTAACATGTGTAAATCCTTCCTCTACGGTGAATACAACTCTATGTGGACTTTGGCTCCCTGTACCTCCATCACCACCACCTCCATCGCCACCATGTCCAAGGCTATCATCACCTTCGCCGTCACCATCTTCACTACCACCATCACCATCTTCATCATTATCTCCACCGCCGTCATCATTGTTGCCATCACCATTATGATCATCCTCAATACTACTAGTGAGAGTAATACGTTGCTTACATTTTGGTGAATCTTTCATTAGTCTGTCAAACTCTTCATCATCCATTGCTTTAGTTGACCATTTTTTACTTATTTTGGATCTTGATTTTTATGGTGGCACAACACCCTAACTTTGACCCACTCTTCCATTGTCTTCAGAAAAATTATTTGTCGATGTTGTCAGGAATGTATTTGGTCTTGTTGGTTGACCATCATCATCAAGTTCATCTAAAAGTGCATTACTAGGATCATCTAACTACTCTAAAATATCTTCATCTTCCTCAAAAACAGTGGTCAAGTCTATAGGTTTGAATTCGTACCATTTTTTGTCCTTTATAAGGTGTTGTATCTTCAATTTCATGTTATACCATGCAAACACTAGCCTTTTTAACATTTGATAATTGAGTCGATTTCGCGCTTTTGTATGAAATAAGAGCAAATGTGCTCTAGTTTCTCTCACAATCACTAGATGAGGCTATTTGCGACAATGTTCTTATACCAATCTTTCTCAAATTAGGAGCATCAGTGCTATACATAAACCACCATTCAGCTGCATAATCATAAGAAACATATTAAAACCTTAAAGAAAAATATAAATAGAAAACCATGAGAATAAAATATTATGTTTAAATAATCTACTTAATTACGTGGATCACTTTTTGTTCTTCCTTTAATTGCAACTTGGTTAGCAAAACAATACATGATCTTTCGAAATATTTTTACCTAAATATCTTGGATATGTTGATGTTATATATTAATTTAGCACATTCATAAACTAAGATCGAAATACTAAAGTATTACCTCTGCAAGTGCTTCAACGGTCTTGTTTGGATTTGTTTCGGTAAAATTCCGATAAATTTGAATTTTTGTGAAAAAGAGAAAAACGATAATTTGTCACTTAGGTACGGGTTGAAAATCTGATTTTTTTTAGAACTTAGATGATGAAACAAACCTCACCGTTGGATTCGTCTTGCGAAATCTAGCTATCCAGTCAATTTTCATTGAATTCTGAGACAGTCAAAATTTTTACGTTTTACGAGGCGATCGGGTGTTGTATGACCTCATAAACGAACCTAAGAATTAAATTTCAAAAAATTAGACAATAATTTAAATTTATTTCAAATAAAAATAATTTGAACTTAAATTGGGACGAAATTTAATCGACTCGGGTCAAAATCGGACCCGAAAAAAGAGAATGTGTGACAAAATGAGGACTAATCATTTAAAGGGTATAAATAAGGGAGAAAAATTAGATTTCTTTCCATACCCATTAGATTATCTAAAAAATCAAAAGAAGAGAGGGAAGCTCCACCTTCTCTCTTTAATCTATGTCTCCACGTTGCTCAAATCGAATAAAATCAAGAACGAAAGTTTTTTTTTTCGTCGAGGGCTACAAAACTATACCAAGAACGTTGGATTTGGATAAAATTTTAAGGACGAAATTTTGGGAAAAATTTGGATTAGAGCTTGTTTCGGGTTCTTGGAGCTTTCTACCTTTGTTTTACGTTTCAAGAGGTAAGGTTTTCATCTTAACTAGGTTTATTTTTAACTTAAGTTTGAAATATGAAATAGGTAGGGTGTTAGAGATGTAATCTCATGTTTAGCACTTGCCTATTGTTGTTGAAATGTGAAAAATGGATATAGAAATGGGTAAAATCAATTTTATCTTGAATTAGGTATGTAGAAATTACTTGAGGTGATTTCTTGAGTTATGTGATGAAATTGGACATTTTATGTGATTGCATAATTTGGTGCCTTGAAGGTGTTTGATTAAATGCTTATGTGGATTAAGTGTGTTAATTACATTGTCTATATTGTAACATGCTTGAAAATTGATGTTGAAAAATGTTGGTATATGCATGTGATACATTGACATTGAAACTATTGATGGTGGTTATATGCTATTGATGCAATTGACCATGTAGTATGTTGACTGGAGATTGAAATTGTTCATATTGTGCTTATGACATATTGAACATGTTGAGAATTTTAATTGTACATATACATTTACATATGCACGAAAAATATCGCATTCCTGGGCATTAACATGAGTGTGGATGTGTGCATGATATTAGATCAAACACCATTCTTAGTCGTTGATAAGTGGGCTTTGTACAGTCGGACCAAGGTTCGACAAAGTTGCACGGTTACATAAAAAACATGTGTCGAGTATAGCAAGAAAGACTAGATACTCCCTCTGGTGCAAGACTTAGTTACTGGTTTATACATTTCTGTCGGTGAAAGTCAAAAAAAGTGTATTGATGTGTAAAACCGGCGGTGAGACACCAAAATCCCACTACCTAACAAAGACGCATGGTTTATTTTTAAAAAAGTTATTGGATGTGAAACATCAATGACAAGGGTTTGAAATGCCCGATTTTATAGTCGTGGCATTACATGGGTGATGAGAGCTGGTAAAGGCTTGAGTTGAGTTGCATGTGAGTCTCATCTCATAATATGACATGACATAGAGAATCTATTATGAATTGCATATTCTTGAATGAATTAATTGTTGTTTGTTGAATTTGCATGTGAACATTTCATATGTATCTAGGTTGAGGAGTAGCCTATTTAGGAGATACCCTTTTGAGCGTGACTCACCTTTTATGGGGACAACATTTTAGGTACGGTATATGCGTCGATGGACGGCTCTCAATTGAACCCTC